AACAAGATGGGGTTTGTGGAAAAACAAGATGGGGTTTGTGTCTGGCTACACTAGGAGGGTGGTGAAGCACTGGGATGGGTTACCTAGGGAAGTAGTGGAGTCTCCATCCCTAGAGGTGTTTAAGTCTCGGCTTGACAAAGCCCTGGCCGCGTTGATTTAGTTGGAATTGGTCCTGCCTAGAGCAGGGGGCTGGACTTGATGACCTTCTGAGGTCTCTTCCAGTTCTATGATTCTATGATACACTACTCCACCCTCACTTGTACGCCCATGAACGCCAAAGTCGGCCGACCCTGGAACTCAAGGCAAGTAAACGCCACCCCTAGGAGGGGCTATCCCCAAGGGGAGAGGACCCCACAATCCTAAACCAAACTGATGGTGGGTCCATTAAACCCCCCTTCTCAGGCGAGAGGGGGCGCTCGCACCCATAAAACCCGTCACAAAGGCTTTTCTGCAAGTCAGGTTAGGGTGTGTTCAGTATTTGATCCTTGATAACGCCCTTACATGTTGGCAGCATTGTCATAAGACTGACCTCTGCATTTTGAGAAATCTATTTTGCAAACTTGGCACAGATAATGCAGTACTTGATTTGCCATTTCTTCACCCCTGTGGCTTTTCAAATTGAGGAATGTTATAAATTGGTCAACTGGTTTTCCATCTGTGGGAGACACATATCTTAGTACTCAATTGATCAATATGTGAAAGATCAGGTGTAGAGTGGACAGATAAACTGAAGTACCCAGCAGTACTTATTTCATCCACAATAGCTGAACGAACTTTGTCACTCATTAGACCAATGAGTTCATCACATACTGTCTTGGATAAGTATGATGGCTTACCTTTGCCAGCATTCCCATATTTTGAGATATAGCCCGCTAAAAATGGGTCAAACTGAGCCACAAGCTCCAACAATCCCAAGAATAGAAAAACGGGGGAAGAGTGTGTAGTGGAGCGTAAGGAAGTCTACCAAAGTTCTGATTTTTCCCATGATGACTACTTCGATCCTTTTTTTGAAATATCAAATACCACATTATTTCCCAAAAAAACCCACATTAGTCTGCCTATTGGGTAATCCAGCCTTCGTGTCAGTATCTGTGAGTGTCTGTGTCCGGGGTGTCAGTGTCCGTGGGTGTCGGACCACGTCCGGGGATGTCAGTATCTTTGGGTGTCAGTCAGTCTGTGTCCAGGTGTGTCAGTGTCTGTGGGTGTCTGTGTCTGGGGTATTAGTGTGGGGGGGGGTGTCAGTCCGTATCCAGGGGTGTCAGTGTCTGTCAGTCAGTCCATGTCCGGATGTCAGTGTCTATGTGTGTCAGTCAGTCTGTATCCAGGGGTGCCTGTATCCAGGGGAGTCAGTGTCCGGGTGTGTCAGTGTCTGTGGGTGTGAGTGTCAGTGTCTGTCAGTCAGTCTGTATCTGGGTGTGTCAGTGTCTGTGGGTGTCAGCCCGTGTCTGGGAGTGTCAGTGTCTGTGGGTGTCAGTCAGTCTGTAGCCGGGGGTGTCAGTGTCTGTCAGTCAGCCCGTGTCCGGGTGTGTCAGTGTCTGTGGGTGCCAGTCAGTCTGTATCCGGGGGTGTCAGTGTCTGTCAGTCAGCCCGTGTCTGGGTGTGTCAGTGTCTGTGGGTGCCAGTCAGTCTGTATCCGGGGGTGTCAGTGTCTGTCAGTCAGCCTGTGTCCGAGTGCGTCAGTGTCTGTGGGTGTCAGTCAGTCTGTAGCCGGGGGTGTCAGTGTCTGTCAGTCAGCCCGTGTCCGGGTGTCAGTGTCTGTGGGTGTCAGTCAGTCTGTATCCGGGGGTGTCAGTGTCTGTCAGTCAGCCCGTGTCCGGGTGTGTCAGTGTCTGTGGGTGCCAGTCAGTCTGTAGCCGGGGGTGTCAGTGTCAGTGTCTGTCAGTCAGCCCGTGTCCGGGGGTGTCAGTGTCTGTGGGTGCCAGTCAGTCTGTATCCGGGGGGGTCAGTGTCTGT